TAAATCATTCCAAATTTCACGCTTCTTTTAATAATTAATTTTATACCTTAGTATTTGCGTCTTCCTGTGTAGCAAAAGGAGTGTGTCCTTGCCAAAGAAAGTTACGACTCCTAAGATAATGGATTTAAGTTTAACAAAATTAAAAAAGTGATAATCATGAAGGATTAAATTGACTAATAAGAAGATCATGTGATGAATAAGCACCTGATAAAAGGAGTTGGATTACTAAACTCCAATACAAAAAAATATTCATATTTTTTATTTCTGCATCAAAGTATGTCTGCATAAAGATGTTAAAAAACAGTTTATTTAATGCTTACTTGCTTCAGAACAAAAATTGGATTAAACTAATGGTTTCATGCTTACTTGAGTTATCTCTCAAATGGAGATTGTCTATGGACAGGACAATGTAACAGCCAGAGATTTCAGAGTATTATATCATTTCACCATTTGTAACAACCTATAGGAGCAGAAAAAGACCAAGTTAAAGCATAAGTAATATAAAAAAAACTGGAAAAACAATGGATTATAGATATGTTGTATGCCTCAGAATTCCATTCCCTAAAGTTGCCATCTTTAGTGTTGGTAAGACCTAGACCAGTCTTCTTCTTCCTTCCCTATGCAATGAAAAGTTTTATGAAAATATTAGATAGGTTAAAGTGATGAAGGTTGGTGGAACATTAGATTACAATAATTCACAAGCGATATTATCTTCAAAAATCAAAATTTTCCTAAGAAAAAGGCTCAATTCTGTTTCCTTCAATTAAATGGCCTAAACTCTAGATGCAATGTTTTCTGTTGTAGGAGTTGAATCAATTGCAATGCCTCGACAAAATATCAATCCTAACTTGATTCACAATTTTGGTGCAACGTGCTCTAAATCCATTGGCTCAAAATATGTTAAAACAGTTAACAATTTTCATTCTTTCTAGGAGCAGTGAGTTTAGGTGACACTGATTTCTAGGGCTCATAGTTAGATTCGATGATAGTAATCGCATCAAGGGTCATCGCAGTTGGAAGTTGGAGGAGTGAGGAGGTTTGTCAGGCGGAGGCGGAGGCGAAAGGCATATGCCGGTGATTATTGCAAGAGGGGAGCGGTGGAGCGTATAGAAAAAGATTAGAGATAATCGATATGTTTAAGTCGGTGTTGTTAAAGATGAAAGTGGTACCATCTCAAGACCATATATGATAAGTCATAGAAATAAAAGGACTAAACATGTCAACCCAAAAACAATTGTAGCAAAAGTTTGAATAATTGAAACTATACTATTTCATAAGCTTTTGGCAATTAATGGACAATGACTTAAAAAGGTAATATATTTTTTTGATTTGTACATATTTTGTCATTGAGTTTTTTTCGTTCTCATTTACTCCTTCAACTTGTTAAACTGTACACATTCAGTCCTTATGACCAGTTACTTCAGGTTAGCCGGGAAAAATAACTTAATAGGGTAATATATTTTTTATGTTTTACACATTTATTCATTAATATTTTTGTACATATTTAATCGTTAATGTTTTTTGTTTCAAAATAAGACTTTTTTGTTTTTGTACTCATTCAGTACTTATTAATGATTTCTTTAGGTTTTTCTCACGATATCTTACATGGGACAATAAATGATGAGGTGTTTGGGGCTTATGATGCTTATGTCCATCACGATCTCGACTGCTTGGTTGCGTAGGTCTTGTGGTTTGGCTTAGGTATTGTTTTCTGAACGTCGTAACTTCTTCATACGATATCAGATTTTAACAATATTTATATCCATGTGTTTGTTTTTTGTGTCTGCTACAACTTTCGTTAAGAAAACTCTTGTTAAAATGTAATATATTTTTACTTACAATTTCATGAAAAAAACATTCATACATGTATTCATAAAAAACGTATGGATATAAAGATCGTAAGTAAAAATATATTACTTTTTAACGGGGGTAGTCTAAATGAAAGTTGTAGCAGACTGAAATACGAACACATGGATATAAAGATCGTTAAAATCCGAGATTGTATTAAAAAGTTATGACGTTCATAAGACATGACCTAAACAACCAAGTAGTTGAGATCGCGATGGACATAAGCTTCAAAAGCCCCAAACACCTCATTAATGAATGTCCCATGTGAGATGTCATGAAAAAAACCAAAAGAAATCATTCATAAGTACTGAATTAATAGAAATTAAAAAACGACTTATTTTGCGACAAAAAAAATATTAAGGACTAAATATGTACAAAAATATTAAGGACTAAATGTGTACAAAGTGAGAAATATATTACCTTATTAAGTCATTTTATTGGCTAACATGGAGTAGCCGATTATAAGAACTGAATGTGTATAGTTTATCAAGTTGAAGGGGGTAAATATGGACAAAAAATAAACTTAATGACTAAATATATGCAAATGGAAAAATAGATTACCATTTTAAGTCATTATCCCAAGAATTAATATTTATATATCTTCTTTTCTAATAAAACACTACCCCTAATGGCCACGTTGCATTACATTAGCAACTCCAGCTTCAGTTTTCCCACTTAAAAGTTCTAAGTGAATTTCCAACTTTGCCCTTCTTTTCGAAAATACTGTCAATTCGAAAAAAAATTATGTAATTCAGTAAAAATGCAAATAAGGATATCAAGATTTTTGAAATTCAAAATTTCAATTATACCATATAAATGTGCAACAAATCTGGAAGAAAATATGTGATAAATCTATCTATTCGAAAATTACTGTAAATTAGAAAAAAAATAATGTAATCAGGAAAATTTTAAATGAGGAAATCAGGAACTTGAATTTTAAATTTTCAATCATACCATATAAATCTGCAACAAATTAGGAATATCAATCAGAATAAATAAGGCAATCGAATATCAATCCCAATAAATGATGCAATCCAATATCAATCGAATATATATACACGTTAACATTACTATTTACGTTCCTGTTTCAATCGAATAGCAATCGAGTAAGCGACACTACATTGTTTTCTCTCTTTTTTTCTTATATAGAGGGTAAACTCATCGATTTTTTTTTTCCTTTTTTGTGATTGCAATCTGTTTTTCCTATATCCAAGGTATACTCATCGACTTTTTAGTTGTGGACTGCATAATCAAGCATGTCAGTTTACTATTTCTACTTATTCATGTAGTCAAATATTCCACAACAATATACTTTACAAGTAATATCAACCCACTTTTGATTATTGAATTCTTATTTTTTTAACCTGTTAACCATGTTAACCATTAACTTTTCTAATGAATAGCAACAATATACTTTACCTGATGGACGTATTTATTTTTAATGTTTCCCCTTCATTGTTGTTTCTTCAGTATGTACCTATATCACGATTTGTGGAATTAAAACAAGTCGTATATGTTTTCTTATGCTATCAATGCATAAAATGCCCCTCCCACTCGCTGTTAATATACTATTTAATTAAAACAAGTATATGTTTTCTTTTTACATTATCAGTTAAATAACAATGTACTTTCTTTTTGGTTGTTTGAATTTTTAAATTTTTTTTTTAAAATTTTTTATTGGTTGATGATTATAAGTGTCAAATTTAATTCAAACAATAAATTTTAAAGTTCTTTTTACTGTTCCCCCTTATTTACCCCTAATTAACTTAAACACATGATAACAATGAGTCTTTGTATCCATCAAAATCAAATAAATAGCAATGTACTACCTTTTTGGTTGATGTATGTATTTTTACAGTTTCCCATACTTTGCTGTTTCTTTTTGCCTGTTTTTTTTTTTTTTTTTTTTTTTTTTTTTTTTTTAAATTTTAAATTTTTTTTCGTTGCTGGTTATAAGTGTCAATTAAATAGCAATTTAATTTCTTTTTGGCTGTTTGAATTTTTTTTTTCGTGCTGATTATAATTTTCAAATTTAATGTCAACATTATTTTACAGTTCAACATGTAGCTATATCACGATTTGTGGACTTCAAACGAGGATATGTTTTCTATTTATATGCTATAAATGACTAAAACGCCCCTCCCACTATTAATATAGTCTTTAATTTGATGATTTCCAATATTACCCCTAACAATATACTTTACCTGGTTGATGTGTTTATTTTTACTGTTTACCCTTCATTGCTATTTCTTCACCATGTACCTATATCCCGATTTGTGGAATTAAAACAAGTATATGCTTTCTTTTTATATGCTATAAATGCCTAAAATACCCCTCCCACTGTCAAATTTAATGTAATCAATAAATTTTGAAGTTCAATTTACTGTTTCCCCGTATTTACCCCTTATTAACTTAAACACATGATAACAATGGGTTTTTGTATCCATCGAAATCAATTAAATAGTGATGTACTACCTTATGTGTTTGATGTATATATTTTTTTACTGTTTCCCGTTCATTGTTGTTTCTTTTTGCCTGTTTTCTTTTTCTATATATAATTTTAATTTATACATCAAAAAACTTAAAAAATTACATATAAATATATTAATAAATACGTTTATACATTTAAAATATGTAAAAATAAATTAAAAAAAAACAGATAAAAAACTTAAAAAGGTACATAACTATGTGAAAAACATACCAAAATATATGAAAATATGTAAAAATATAAAAAAGTCATAAAAATACGTAAAAAAATATGTTTATGCATTTAAATTACATAAAAAACACTTCAAAAATACACACACACACACATATATATATATATATATATATATATATATATATATATATATATATATATATATATATATATATATATAAACATAAAAATACTTTAATAGAATACATATAAATACATAAAAATAGGTTTTTACATTAAATATAAAAAATTTGAGGAAATTTTATAAAAAAATTTATTGTGTTGTTAATTGCTGAACAAAAGGGATTGTGAAAAAATTTGCAGATTTCTTGAATTTTTTTTTTTTCTCAAAAATAATTTTCAAACTTATTTTTCAAAATAATAGAACTTTCTACAGATTTTCCTTTAACCTTATTGTGAATTTCTCTAGTCCCATTCCCAACTCCACCTTCTAGTTTCTTAGGTTTTCTTTTGTGTCTCTAAAATTCCTAAGGAAATTTTTTGATAAATATTGCCACTAATAACTTTAGCGGCTACAAGTTGTCCTAAGACGTCGCCGCTATTACTTTTCGTAGTTTTACTAAAAGACTACCTAATATTTAAGGTATACACTCATCCGTATCAAAGACCGTATATCTCACAGTGGAAGTGGTGTATGAATCTTTGTTAAAATTTCCATGTCATGTAGAAAAACACGAGCGACATCCATTATATAAGTGCATGCCTCATGCATCAGTTGTTCATGTACTACCATTAGAGAGGACAACTAGCTAGCTAGTGCTCGCAAGAAAAAGAGATGGCTATAACAGGAACAATAACACGTGATGTTGAAATCAAATGTCATCGTCACCAGGTCTTTGAACTCTTCAAGCATAGGCCACACGACACCTCAGTCATCGACCCTGAAACGATTGAAGCTTGTCATTTAATTTCTGGTCAATGGGGTGTTCCTGGAGCTGTCGTTCAGTGGCACTACTACCATCGTAAACTACTAACATATGAACTTGTATTTTTGTTCGATCTATTACATCTACACACACACATCCATGCATGTATATATATATATATATATATATATATATATATATATATATATATATATATATATATATATATATATATATATATATATATATATATATATATATATATATATATATAAACTACTTCTGGTTTTTGCACAGTTGGAAAAAAGGAAACTGCGAAAGAAATCATTGAAGAAGTTGATGATGAATTACACAAAATTGTGTTCAAAGTGATTGAAGGAGATATCTTGGAGGTGTATGATTCCTTGAGCTTCATCCTTACGACAAAAGAGGTGGGCGATAAGAAGTTTGTTACCTTGACTATAGAATTCGAGAAGGCCAATGCAAGTATACCGGATCCAACATCGTATCTGGATTTGGTTTGTGGACTACTTGCAAATGTAGGTGCTCATTTTGTCAAGTACCCATGATGTCGTCGATATATTCACTAAATAAATGTCGCTCACATTATGCATGTATATCAGCTCCAACAGCGACTTGCTTGGTAATAATAGATTAAAGGGAAGTGATTGTTTAATAAATAAATGTCAGCTGCTGTGTTTATAAATATTGATGCTTGTGAAAATATATATATGTATTAATTTGTATTGTAAATGTAAACTAGCATGGTGTTATGGTGTATTTCAATTGCTTGTGTGGGAATTGTTTCATCGTTTGCTTGATTTTTGAAACTAAAACTTACTTTTGATAGTCACGTTTTGTGTTTATGTTTTTTTTATAAGTTTAAGACTTCCAAATAGTTTAAGTAACGTGTAAAACTATGGAATGGTTTAAGATTTTTATGTTGCTTTTTAATGTTTTCCGAGTGGGTAGGTTGGGCAATGACCTAGAGCCCTAGAATCGTGTAGGACCCATTTTACAAATCTGTTGGTGCTTGTATAGGAGACCCATGTATTTATTTTTCAGTTTTCAATGCCAATCGTCCCCTCCTTTCTAATCTGTTGAAGAAATCGATCGAATGCCAATCGTCGATTCATCATCTTCTTCACGGTTTTAACTTATAGTTTTCTGATTTGTATGAAATTTGTTGATCGATTAAGCCTTCATCCATCAAGAATCTTCGAAACAATCAAGTAAGAATAAAAAATCGAGTTTTGATTTCCTGATTTCTTTGATTTATCTGTTTTTTCATTGTCTGATTTCTTCTCTTTTATCCTCCAAATCGATTTTGTTGTGTCAGAACCGATTTTTGAGTTTTGAGTTCGATGATTATATCAGAGTATCAAAATACAATGTTTTTTTTTTTTCCTAGTGTCTCTTATCACGCCTAAGTTCTCGACTTTACTCTTGGGTTTCTGGTTTTAATCGTGTTTTGTTATATGTGAATTTTGACTGAATGAATGATAATCAAAAGGCCAATCAAACCCTTTTTTTTTTTTTTTTATTTGTTTTTATTTATTTATTTATTAACAGACCCAAAGTGTTTTACTTTATAGTTTCTGATTTTCTTTTCGGTTATGATATTATGTGAATTTTGATGAGAGGCAAAGAACTTACAACTTTAGGCACCTGATTTTCTTTTCAGTTATGATATTATGTGAATTTTGATGAGAGGCAAAGAACTTACAACTTTAGGCACGATTAGTTATTGAATTTTATTTCGTGTTTAATTTATCTTTTAATTATTTGAAATTGTTTATATTTTACATTTATGATGGTAACAACCGATCATAAAGATAACATTTGAACAACTTTAATTAATTATAAGGTAAATCAAGTATGAAAAAAATTCAATTATTAAAAATTAACAGTTTTAACCCTTTCATGTGATTATCCTGTAAATGGTTCTAAATCTTATTAAGAATAAACACAAATGGAATATAATGGTCACAAAAATGAGGATGTTGTAATAATTGTGTGATATACTTTTATTGTATAAGATATCAAAAATAACACTTAAAAATGCAATAGAATTGACTTCAATCATGAAGGAAAAAAAAATTATAGTGGTTTCAAACATACTACGATATAATCGGCGTTTTTCACTACAAATGATGGAGACGATCGGTGTAGATCATTACTTATATTCTAGTTATTACTTGCAATCTGCCTTTTCTATTTGTATATTGGCTTTATAGGTACTTCTCATTGTACTCCTTCTGATTTTCAATCTTATTTTTTGTTTTATTGCTCGTAGATGTGTATTTTTGCCTTTCTCATGAAGCTCTACATATTATTCTTTTTTGTGGGTTGGCGTTTCACATATAGGTGAATAAAGAAACTATAATTAAACATTTATCTCATGAACTAGGATTTAAAGTCATGAACTAAAGCATGATTATGTGGTACATATTCTATTATATAATATTTTTTACAAACACAACACAAAACAAAGTGCAGTGACGAAATCAAAATTACTAATCTAAGTAATTACTATCAATAAGGAAAAGAAACTAACAAATTAGTATAAAAGTGGATATTGACTTGAAAAAGTAATAAACTTTTAATTTTGTTCGTATTTAATCATTGAACTTTTTTTATGTTTGATTTGTTCCTGAATTATTTGAATTTCCATATTTTACCCTTATGACTGGTTGAACACATAAGGGTAAAATGAGAACAATTTTAAATAATTCAATGATAAATAAAACACGAAAAAAATCAATCACTAAATATGACCAAAATTAATAGTTCGTTATCTCTAATTAAAAAAAGGACAAATTGTTTGCTAAATTATAAAGCATGCATTTCGATCGATGTTATATATATATATATATATATATATATATATATATATATATATATATATATATATATATATATATATATATATATATATATATATATATATATAGGTTCAGATTCATTTAAAACCATTTCAATTTTGTGAGACCGTGAGACCAAATCTAAAAATAATTTTAAAATGCAAAATAAATGGAAAAATCCAAAAATTCTTTTTTTAAATATTATTTTCGGACTTGAATTAACTAAAAAAAATATAAAAAAATATTAAAAAAAATAAAAAAATTCCGTTTTTTTTTTTTTTTTTTGAAAAATACGTGAAATATTCTAAATAGAATATTACACTGACATATTCTAAAAAATAATTTTAAAATGCAAAATAAATGGAAAAATCTAAAAATTCTTTTTTTAAATATTATTTTCGGAACTTATAAGGTGAGGAGAACTCACCTTATAAGAAGTGCTGAACCGGTAAGACCAAATCGCAACTCACAGCGCCGAACTCAACTATCTACAACCACCATGTGACTAAATCCATTAAAATCCTGAATTACCAACAATACCGTCAAGATCAAACTTGGTTAACCAATGTCAAAGTCAAAGTCAATGGTCAAGGTCAACAGTCCTTGTTAACCCAACTCGTCGAGTGCACATAGCAACTCATCAAGTTTCTTCAGTCTTCAGAAAAACCGGGAAAACCCGAGTCAACTCGCTGAGTTGTTAAGACAACTCGTCGAGTCTGCACAATATCTAGAAGGTCGGGGAAACCTGAGTCAACTCGTCGAGTTGGCATGGCAACTTGTCGAGTTCTCCCCAGTTGCACACATTCGGATGATCCTTCGATTTCAAGGACTCTAATGCTTAGCTCTGAACTCCAAATGTTTCTAAAAAGATAATGTTTCCAGCATTATCCTTTGGGACTAGCCCAAATGCTCAAAAGTTCCACTTCAAAGCTTAAAAACCCAAAGGCTTAACCATTAAACCCAAAACCCTAGTGTTTTGGAACCCATCCCTTTCAGAAGAGGTTCTAACCTCAAAAACGTCGTAAAGATAGATGCTTTATAGACATGCATGTCTTGAAGCCAGAATGGGCCAAAAAGAAGAAATATTCCCTAAAATCCATTCATGGCATCAAAGCTTGACAAAAAGACAGATCTAACCCACTATGAGGCCATCTTGACCTGGAGACTCATAAAGTTGCAAGCTTTCATGAAGTCCATGCGTGCAATAATTAAGAATAAGGAGGAAAAAAGGAAAAAACTCAAGATCTAGCTATATATATAATATATATATATATATATATATATATATATATATATATATATATATATAAAACATATTGTTTTTACGTTCTCACACCATTTACTATTTTTATTTGAACTTACTTCTCTCTCTCTCTCTCTCTCTATATATATATATATATATATATATATATATATATATATATATATATATATATATATATATATATATATATATATAGAGAGAGAGAGAGACAGAGAGAGAAGTAAGTTCAAATAAAAATAGTAAATGGTGTAAGAACGTAAAAACACTATGTTTATGTTATTCTGTAATGAATTTTGTATATGTGTATTGTTGAAGTAATTCTAATATAAATATTAACTTTCGATTAATCATATATTCATTACAATGGTATTATTCTATTATAATCTTATGTATGTGCATTTTGGTAGTAAATTCTAATTTCAATTTTAACCTTTGACCATTCATTTATTCTTTGCTGAATAATGACATAAAATTGTCGATACAAAATTCATTGCAGAATAATAATATAAAAAAGTGTTTTTACATTTTCACACTATTTATTGTTTTTATTTGAATTGTCCCCTATATATATATATATATATATATATAATATATATATATATATATATATATATATATATATATTATATATATATGTGTGTGTGTGTGTGTGTGTGTGTGTCTAAAAATCGGGTTTTGGATACTCAAAACAGTCCACAATAGTGCCAAACTCAAGATCAAAGGCTTTGCTTGCTAGATCCTTGCCTCCTTCTCACCAATTTCTCATTCTTTTGCTCCAAAGTGCCACACTAGCTCACAATATGAGAGGAAATGTAGATTAGGGCTCATAAGATCAATATTAGGGTTTGGAGGCTGATAAGGGATCTACCTTAAAGGGTTAAGGAAGTTATATAGGATGCAAACCCTAAAATTTAGGGTTTTCTCATCCATCCACCAACTCGTCGAGTTGAGGCTCCTTATATCGTCGAGTAGGTCCATGAAAATACACGACCATCTTGGTTTCTATACGACGAGTTGGAGCCTCCCAACTCGTCGAGTTCTAAAATAAAATGCATAAAATCCTTAAAATTTCATAACTAGGGATCGCGATGTTACAATCATTTTTTGGTATTTTGGTGCTCTTAAATAAATACATAAGAGAAATCACTGATTCCCATGGAACTAACATCTCTCTGTGCGGAAAAGATTTAAGACTCTTTAGGAAAAAAACTCATCGAAATCAATTTAATTAATATGTAGTGTCATCTTACCATAGAAACTTCATAAAATTGATGACGTCTTAACTGGTTGAGATCCAAATGGGCTAGCAATCAGCCAATCAAGCAAATAGTGAAAGACAGTGGTCCCTCTCCAGTTGCCATATACATGAGGGTTTTGTATTAAACATAAGATGTTTAATTGTAACCGACTAAAATAGGTGCACATCTGAGGGTTGGTCCAGTCGATCCTTGATGCATTATCGGTGATGTTATGCCCATCTGTTGGTATTTGGTTTCTTGGAAAGTGAAAGTGATATAATAATGTTCCATTAAAATTCCCATGACATGCAAAGTTTAAAGACGCACAATTACAAGTGGAAATAGCAATAATACAGATGCCCAAAACACAAGTGGAAATTACATTAAAGATAGCACAAAATATACAGAACATCCATATATAAATGCTTTACTATCGGGTGTTCAACTATTAGTACTAGAGCCTAGAGGGGATAACAAGCTAGCTAAAGCTCGCAAGAAAGAAAATATGGCTACAATAGGTAAGTTAGTCTGCGAAGTTGAAATCAAAAGCGATATTAACTTGGTTTATGAAATCTATAAACACAAACAAAACAACTGTCCGGTCATCTCCCCTGATAAGGTTCAAGGTTATGATTTATTTTCATGTCAATGCGGGTGATCCTGGATCTGTGATTCTCTAGCACTTCATCCATGGTAAACTATTTCTTCTATGATAATTCAACATAAAATTTTGTTCTATGTGTGATCAATACACACATATTTATTTATGTATGTATGTGAATACTAATTATGCTTTTTTCTGTAAATGGAAAAGTGGAAACTACAAAAAATATGGTTGAAGAAGTTGTCGATGAATTACACAAAATTGTGTTCAAGGTGATTGAAGGAGGAGTGTTGGAGGTGTATAATCCCTTAATCCTCACGGTTAATATTGAAGATATGGGCCATAATAAGTTGGTTATTTGGACTATGGAGTTGAAGAAGGTGAATGTAAATATACTTGATCCAACACCATATTTAGACTTGCTCTGTGTTGTGGTCGGAGATATGGATGCTTATTTTCTCAAGTGGCCATGATGGTAACAATAAAAGTGAAGTGTTTTTTCAATAAAAAATATAGTTGATATATTTGTGACGAATATTGTATGATTGCTTGTTAAGATATTTATTTTTATTGTAAATTAGCATAATTTGTGATTCGAAATTTATTTTATTTATTTATTTTTTTTAATTTTGGGTTATAAATGTTGTAAATACTAGTATTTAAAGTGGAGAAACCAAGTGCCACACCCCCAAACCGGAACAACGAAAATGTTTGGAGATGGATGACTTCATGCATAGTATCACAACAATGCACAATAAAAATCAAAGTATAATATTCATTACACTGATAAAACATAACTTTACATTCGTGTTCAAATCATTGTATATTTGACACCAAAAAGTATAATGAAAAGACATAATTATATGAAAACTCTATCTTCCTCAAAACTTGTGGATACTTGTTTATCAATTTCCTGAAAATATAAGTAGTTTTGAAAAGAGTGTCAACAATTAAGTTGGTGACTTCATAGGTATTTTTATAGAATAACTCTATCATTTGTTTCTTAAAAAGGAAAATATATTAACCTAGAAAAATTATGTATTTTCTGTTGTATATGTATTTGTGTTCTGAAATAATATCATATAGTTTTAATTCACATGAAACCATAAAATGAATATTTTCCCTATAATAAAATGGTATTTTATATTTTATACTATTATGAATTCTCTGCAGAAGCCTAGGTTTACCGTTTGTAAAATATTGTGTTATAGTTTCATTATTTAATAAAACTATATGAAGTTGTTTTCTTATTCATACACTAATCATATTATTCAATACCAAATTATGAGTTATCATAACCATGCTTGATGACCTAAGCCTCGCATGAAACACAACGTTTTTCGGGCATCGAAATATGGTATGACAATTTTCACCATAGGTCTGCCGACTTAGCTGTAACAAGCAGCTCTGGTGCGGGATTGTGAGCCCCGTATAGATCTATACACAAGTGTCACGTTGTCCCTTAAGGAGACTTTGGTTATAATTTTCAAGACTTTTATATTATACTTAAATAAGTACTTGAAGCATGTCTCACAAATGTTATATTGACGGTTACGTGTAGAATAAAGAATAATATCATTGTAATAGATAAACTGTAAATCTCTAATAAATTATATTTAATACAATTTATATATTTATTTTCATAACTTATTCTGAATATATAAAGCAACACGTAAGTTCCATAAAGTGTATGAATAAGTGTGCATGAATCATATATTACACATATTATAATTTATATGCTTTGTTTTTGTAATAAAATCCCAAACTTAAAAAAATAGTATGTTTATTTTGATAAAATAACAATCATAAATTATTTGAATAATTTTGTTATTTATACAAGGAGGAGCTGCGACAAGCATCGCCTTCGGATGCGAAGGGACGAAACACGCGTCACAAGCTCGGGCGCGCAACGTGTCGGATATCGGATATACCACAGACGCAACACGCATCGGAACCGGAGTGCGCTGCACATTCAGATAAGTTATCAGGTCGAACACAAGGCAGCTCGTAAGGGACGGGCGCCGTGGCCGGTTCTAGTCCCTTTTTATGCGGAAATTCTTGGATTTTGTTCCCCAAACATAAAAAATTCATAACTTTCGCATACGAGCTCCGTTTTCGACGTTATTTAAATGCACTTGTAGGTGAGATTATACTCTACAACTTCGTTTAGACTCTCTCTGCTAATTTTGACCTTATTTTTAATATTGTTATTTTTAACAGATCGGGACAGGAAAATCCGTTAAAAATTCATAACTTCTTCATCCGATGTCCGTTTTCGTCTCTCTTTTTACCGTTGTACTAGTATTGAAGAGATCTTCGATTCTCGTTTAGGTTGTGTCAGCTAAAAATCGTCCGATCTTTATTTCAAATTTTGGGTTGTGAACTGCTATGTCGAATCTTAGAAAAATCATAACTTCTTCATATGAAGTCAGATTTGGACGTTCTTTTTATGGACACTCTCGATTTAACGTATGCTACAACTTTCATTTAGATACCTAAGGCTAAAAAGCATTTTATCAGTGTTTTTACGGTTTTTCTTTGTTATAACTCGGATTTTTGTTTTATTTATATATTTTTGAATCCTTGTTACAACCTTTACTACTTTATTCATCACAATTAAGATTATTGAACAATTTAATTTTGACACTACTTTTCATCTCAATTAATTTTTATTTTTATTGTTTCAAAATAAGTTATAATAGTTGACCTAGACTATTACATTGATTTGAAATAACAGGTTGTCACATTATCCCCCCGTTAGAGGGAATTTCGTCCCGAAATTGTTTCTAAAGTGGTACTCATGAACTAGGGAAAAGATGTGGATATTTTTGTTTCATATGATCTTTCCGTTTCCAAGTGAACTCAGGTCCCCACTTTGTACTCTAGCAAACCTTCACCATTGGGATATGATTTTGCTTGGTTCTTTTGATTTCCCTATCCATGATTTCTACTGGTTCTTCTACGAAGTGTAGACTCTCGTTTAATTCAATTAAATTGAGTGGAATTACAAGAGTCTCTTCAGACAGACACTTCTTGAGATTTGATACGTGAAAAGTGGGATGAATGTTACTAAGTTCATGCGGTAGTTTGAGTCTATAATCAACCGGACCAATTCTAGCAAGAATCTCAAATGGTCCGATGTATCTTGGATTTAGTTTCCTACGTTTGCCTAAACGTATTAAGTCTTTCCATGCTGAGACCTTTAACAAGACTCGGTCACTAACCTAGAATTCCAAGGGTTTTCGTCATTTGCTTGTATAACTCTTATGTGTGTCTCTAGAAGTTTTCAATCCTATATTTGTATAATCTATTCTGTGGTTTCTTGAATGATCTCGGGAGCGGTTAGAGTACTGTTGGGTAATTGGTTCTTGGCTAGTTGCGTATCACCCACTTCAGCCCAACATAGCGGTGATCTGCATTTGTGGCCATAAAGGGCTTCAAATGGAGCAACTTTGATGCTGGTGTGTGTAGCTATTGTTGTATGAAAATTGAAGTAGTGGTAAATAGGTATCCCAAGATTTACCAAAATCGATCACACAAGCTCTCACCATGTCTTCTAAAGTTTGAATCATTTTCTCACTATCTATCAGTTTGTGGGTGCTACGTTGTACTCATGTCCAACCTGGTTCCTAAGGATTTCTGTAATGACTGCCAGAATCTTGAGGTGAATCTACTATCTCTATCAGAGATAATAGATATGGGTACACCATATATTCCTACAATCTCTCTAATGTATGTCCTGGTTAGATTCTACATCTTGTCAGTTTCTTTAATTGGTAGGAAGTGTGCAAATTTGGATAATCTATCGGCGATTACCCAAATAGAGTTACGACCATCCGTTGTTTCGGGAAACTTGGTTATGAAATCTATAGTTATCCGTTCTTACTTCCATTCGGGTATATCTGGTTGTTGCAATAAATTCGAAGGCTTTTGGTATTCTACCTTGACTTTGGCGCAAGTCTAACACTTGTCCACAAAGGTAGCAATCTCAGCGTTCATGTTCAGCTACTAATAGAATTTCTTGAGGTCTAGATAGATGGGAATGAATAGTCATGGTTAGAGATTTTACATGACATCCCGAGTATTCTTTCCGACTTAGGGCGTCAGCTACTACATTGGCTTTACCGGGATGATAATGAATTTCACATTCGTAGTCATTTAGTAGATCAACCCACAATCGTTGTCTCATATTGAGCTCCTTCTGATCGAATATATGTTGAAGGCTTTTTTGATCCGTAAAGATAGTGCTTTTCGTACCATACAAGTAGTGTCTCCATATCTTCAGAGCTAATATTACTGCTCCTAACTCCAGATCATGCGTAGTGTAGTTGACTTCATGTGTCTTAAGCTGCCTCGAGGCATAGGCAATGACCTTTCCCCGTTGCATAAGAACACAACCAAGCCCTTGGTTTGATGCATCATAGTACACTACAAAATCTTCTATCCTTTCTGGAAGGGATAATATCGTTGTGCTACATAGAGCTTGCTTTAGAGTTTGGAACGCATTCTCTTGTTTTCCTTCCCATCTAAAAGTCACAACATTATGAGTTTTGAAGCGAGAGATGATGTGGAGGTTTGTGTTGAGTTTGTCGTTTATAGATTTCAAAAGATTTCGTTAAGCTGCCAATTATGAAAAAGGGTCTTTTCGTAGCATAGGAAATTGATATGGTGAGGAACAAGTCAATCCATGTCTAATGATGATGTCAGAATTTCTTATGGAAAGAAGTGTTAATTCAATTTGGAAAAAGTGTTTGCTAGAGCGATAATGCATTCTGTGTATTTTTTATATTGTGTTTAGTTTTATCCTTGTTATGTCTACTACGAACGATTCATATCTCATTAAGCGAGTATTATTAGTAAGAGCGTTCCGATAGCTAGTGATGATACTTAATATTATGATCGCTCTCAGGTTCCTCTATGATCGCTTGGTGTATACAAGTCATGTATAATTAAGATTGATAGGACCGTCGACTGAGTGACTCTGTCCTAGATCCACAACCAGACAAGGAACAGGAAATGAGGTGGAATTGCTTACTCTAAGCCTACAAAATCTTAATTATAAATAACCATGATGTACATACTAAGCCATCATAGCTCACATACAAGGATCCTTAGTTTTTATACGAATGTTGTGATTTTGTTCGGCTAATAGAGTAATTTATAATTACACATATATATTTTTTTAATTGGCACTAATTTAAGTTTTTAATATATTGATATTTGGAAAACGTACCTAAAATTTAAGTAGGCTTCCTCGTTGCTCCTTTATGTTTTGTCATGAAACTTCTCCTGCTTTTCCATCATTTCTCTTTGTTGTACAATTTCTCTTGAACTGTCCTATTTCACCACATGCATGGCATATTTGACTTATACTAGCATCAATGGTTGAAGTGATGTGTTGGGCTGGAGTCCTACAGTTACTGTTGGTGTGCCCCTTCTTGTTGCCCCCATTGTAATACATCTCCCGACAGGCTCCATGATGATGGTAGTTGCATTTTCCGCAGTGTGGGATGTTTCCATAATATGGTGTTGTCGATGTTGAAGTAGCATGGCTAGAGGGGGTACGGACTAACACAACTTGTTGTCTTTTGGTAGAC